TTAAAAAAGAAAAAAGAAAAACTACAATGCTCACCTGGCATCTAGAAAGCGGGACCTCAGTATCATGACCGCCTCACAGGTGCTCTGCTTCAGCTGGGTCTGGATCGAACTGAATTTGCGGTGGATGATAGCCACCATCCGCTCAATCTCCCGTGGAGTCACAGGCCGTGTGCGCGACTGCTCCCTAAGCAGGTTCATCACATGGGTGGTGAACTCGGTGCACGCCTGGTGAAAGGTGGTGCAAGACGAAACACAATGAAGGAGAGAAGTGAAGCTGCTATACATGTGTTATTTTATAAAACGTCATTACTTCTGTTAATTATGATCTTTTCTAGCTGGAAAGGCAATTCCATGTTGAAAATAAAAACAGTTTAATTGATAATAAGGATAATTGGTACGACAATTGTTCTTATTGGTAAGCACGCACACTTAGTGGTCTCTTTATTAGGTCACTCTGTGCACTGCAACAAATTGTCATGAACATGTGGTTATTACTAAAGGTGTTTTCTGGGATTACACTAATGATTCTGTTCTTCTAATGACAAGGGATGAATATTAGAAATACCTCTGAATACTTACTGTAAACTTCTTGCTGATATAATTAATATTAATATATTATATTACATACAATATGCTAATATACAATGCATTAAATATAGTAATAGTTTAAGTCTTCATAACAGAAGACTTTAAATAATTAAATTAATATCCACCTCTATTAATCCAATGTTTCTCACTTTCTGGCTATAACAAAAAGCATATATTGCACTGGTCTACAAACACACGCTTCCAAAAGCAACATAGTGAAACCTTACTCATTTTGAGTTGCTGAAACTGATGCCTAAAATAATTGGTGGACTCTGGTTTTCATGATATGCTGCAAAGTCAAATATAAGACCACAAACTGAAACCATATATTACTAAAATATATTATGACCATGAAGTGTTGACAAAACCAAATGGCTCAAAGCTGGTGGTGATTTTCAGATATCCACTTTTCTTAAACTATTCATCTGATTTCAAACTGGACTTGAAAAAATGGAATGTATCAAGTACGAAATGTCAAATTTGAATTTGATGTTACCCTGGGCGTTTTTTTTAAAGCATATTAAAATATCAAAAAGGTAAGAGTTTAATTTCTTTCATAATATGTTCCTAAGAGGACTGTGACTAAAATGTATATAATCTCCACATTTCATCTATTAGGGTCCTACACAGCTAAATACCTTGATATTTAACTTTGACACTTCACTGTGAAGTGATGAAACCAACATATCTACATTTCATAATATTCTGGGTAACTGATGAAACTGACATTTCTCCATAGTAATTCATCGTGACCAAGTCTGGCATAGTGGGCTCTAAATAAATTCAGTGTTTTCTTTTCAACTAAAGTAATAACTTC